TCTTGAAGACCAAAAAACTGAGAGCGTCACTGGTTTCTGCATGAAAAAGAACCTTTCAAAAGTTATTACAGAAATCAATTATTTTCAGAGAAACAAGTTATGAACCCATTATTGCTCAAAATCGAAAAACGCCTCATATAGTGACAAAACGGTTAAAGATATCAAAATGCGATTTGGACTAATGAAGATTTCATAAAATTTGAGTCTCAGGGTGGGGGGTTGATTTTTTATATCTCACTCAGAAATTGACGGTTCCTAATAAATGTGTCAAAATTGGCCCCTCTTTACTGCTTTAAATGCGATATTGGTCCAGATACAGGTTATCAATGAGTGTGCAAGTCAATACATTTAGTGCCGGTACTTTTGCTCTCATTTGACGGCCATAATCAGGGGTTTGAATGTGCTCTAACCATATCATACTTATAGACCTTGGCCCATGCAAAACTTTGACAACGTATCAAATTCGTTAATCGAGAGCAAAAGTATCGGTCCTTAGGAGCTAAATCTAGACTCCTAAAATAAAATAAATAACCCAGGTCGGCTTCAAGAAAAATAAAGTTATTGATGGTCGGCCAAAAATGAAAGATCAGACTTAAAAGTTTGGTAACACCATCGCGTAGAAGGAAAAAACTTGCTTCAATAAAATGACAATTATTTAAAATAAATTTTTAATAGGCCCAAGAAAAATTAAAATAATAAAGCAGAATTTCCTTTCTTTCAGATATTTCTGGAAGTACCTACCTATTCGAAATGTTTCAAAGCATGTTGTTGAGTATAAAATTGAAAATTCAGCAATATTACCCGCAGATTCGACCAAATCTGTATTCCTTACCGTGTCCGTGAACCCATTGATTGTTCTCGAAAAAAGGACATCCTGTATAGATATGTCAATACATTTCGATTGGTTGAAGTCGAAATCAGAGCCAATGCGACTTTTTCTGTTAATATTTTCATTCGTAACCGTATGGCCCTGCAATTTTCATCAAGGTAATTTTAATTCCATTGACTCTAATATATGATAATTGATTATGGTGAAAGTTTAACTGAGTAAAATACATTTTATTTTTTTGAAAAATTCCGAAAACATGTCAACCTTAATTTTTAATTTGCTACATTTTTTCTGCATCTCTCGCATGTTATCACGGGGATATATCATAGCTCTGGCTTTTTGTAAGAAAGGAAAGAAATAAAAACAAAAATATGAACATTAGAGTGTGGTAGCTGATAAATTCAATTTAGTTTGATCCTCACCATTGAGATTTGGTTATTATTATTATTCCTATTTTTTGTTTTTATAAAGAATCGAAAAATGAAATTCGCTGGATTTAATTTTCATGTACAATAATGTCAAAAAATATTGATTTGACGTCTGTGAGACACATTTTTTGAGGAAAGATTATTTTGATTATGTTCAAATAATCGATAATCTTCTGATTGCATAATACCGAGTATAAAACTAAAAACAATTTCATTTTTTTCTTATATGGCCTCCATTTTGTAATTTATGTCAAACGATAGAACCTACTTAAAAATTATCTTTTGAATGATGTATAGCATAATGTAGACAAAATTAAGTTATTTGAAGGAAATATCCAATAAAAATATTTTTCATGAGAGGAAACGGAAATTTGATAATATTAAATTTTGTATATCCTTCAAATGTTGCATTTTTGAAACAAAAACTGTTTCTGAAAACTTTTGGTTGCCTAGCAACAAAACGATTGTATCATGAATGAATTGATTGAAGAGCTTTTCAATTGATGAACGGTAGGGCATTCAATTATAATTACCTACCCAGGAACAAGATGGTATTACCTATCTGAAATATCCTATGAAGAAAACGTTGATAAGTTCGAGTGTTAACGTAAATCAAACAAAAACACTCAAGCGGCTATAGTGTATTTTTCCATAAAAGAAACATACATCATTCAAAAGGTCTCAAATTATATTCCCAAAGCCTGGAAAGAAATCAGAGGTGTTTTCATCCCCAAACCTGGCAAAATAGGACAGGACAATGTAAACGCTCTGAGACCCATAGGAGTCATGTCATTTTTGTCGGAGACTCTAGAGAAACTGCTTGAGGTCCACATTCGGGGTGATGCATTGGCTACCAGATAAATATGCTTACAAAGCAGGAACCTCAACTGAAACACCTTGCCCAGCGGGTAGAAAGTACGTTCGAAAATAGGGAAGTTATGTTGGGAGCCTCCCTTGACATAGATGGAGTGTTTGACAACATTTCTTTGAGCCAATCATGAGAGCTCTACGCTGACGATCTATTGATGAAACATGCTGCAGATGGATAGACTGCATGCTTCGAGGTAGAGTCATCCACTCCACGCTCCTCGGTAAAACAGTAACGGCCCGGCACAAGTTGCAAAGGGGTGTCCGCAGGGCAGAGTGTTATCACCCCTGCTGGTGATGGTCGAGTTGATAGAGGTACTAAAGAGCAAGAACCATCAAGTAGTGGGATATGATGATGAAGTCGACAACCGTCCCCTATACCAAAAAAAGGAAAGGAAAAAGGAGGGACTTGGACCTCTTTACCTTCAGGGCAATCCAGTTACGATGTCGGACGAAGTTAAATATCTTGGGTTAATCATAGACTCAAAATTAACTTGGAACAAACATCTGGACAAAGTAATTAGAAGGTCAGAAATGGCATTTATACTAGCCAGGAGAACTTTTAGCAAAACATGGGGGGCTGCGGCCGGACATGATGCACTGGCTATACACAACGGTTGTAAAGCCAGCGATAATCTATGCGTCTTTAGAATGGTGAACAAAGACATAACAAGACAGGGCCAGAATGAGACTTGGCAGGATCCAAAGACTTGCCTGTCTGGGCATTACAGGGTGCATGAAAAGTCCTACTAGACCTACCTTTGCTACACATTGTCATTCAGGCGGAAGCCAGGATAGGCCACCACAGACAACGAAACAACCTGACTAAACTAACAGTCAGATCAGGCCACACACAAATAAGGGAAGTGATAAATCTGACAGTATTCAACATGATAACTGACCATGCACTTCCCAAATACTCATCCGACATATCCTTCCAAGTCCTAATTAGTGAAAGGGAGGATTGGGAAAACCAACATGCACTTTACAATCTCGAAGGCCAGACCTGGTACTCGGACGGGTCAATGACTGAGAATGGTACAGGCGCAGGAATCTACAGTCAAGAAGGAAGATGCGAGACCTTCTTCTCTGTAGGGTCAGATACATCGGTTCTCCAGGCAGAGGTATATGCAATACTACAGTTCGCAAGAATCAACAATATGAGGGCCTGCAAAGACAGGAGACTCTCTTTACTCACCCCCAGCACTGGGAGCCTTAAAGAACCCTAAGCCAAGCTCTGTACTGGCAATAGAATGCCGAGAAGAACTCAACAACTTGGTGGACCAAAATAACGTCACATTGATGTGGGTGCCAGGACATAGAGGTATCCCAAGCAACGAAAAGGTTGATGAACTTGCACGCAGGCGGTCATCCCCAAAATACCTTGGTCCCGAACCAGCTCTCGGAATGACCAAAAGCACAGTGAGAAAGGAGCTGAAGGAATGGATCAAAGCAAAACATGCTCAATGCTGGAAGTAAATACCCAAGCATGCACATGGGAAAATCTTCATACGTGAGACATGCAGCAAAAGAGCAAGAAGACTGCTTCAATTAAGTAGGAATCAAGTCAGAGTAGCAACCGGCATTCTTACTGGGAATGCCCCAGTAAAGAAGCACTTGCAAACAATGGGTTTTTACAAGGAGACACAAGCTGCAGACTATGCGGAACAGAGAGCGAAACATCTCAATACATTATATCAGAATGCAAGGCACTAACTTGCAGAAAACAAAATATATTTGGAGAACATGAACTAGATCTAGACACATTCGACAAACATCCAACAGACCTAAAACTTTCCCACCAATAAAAAAAAAGGTCTTCAAGTAGGTAGGTACTATCGTATGATATAAAAATCCGAAACTGCGGCCATAAGAAAAAATAGGGTTGCTCCTATGCTTCTATATACTACAAGAACAAAAGTTGATCTTGCGGTTATTAAACCAAACCGAAAAATCGCGGTTTCAAATTGTGTGATTGTGGTCTTGTGTGGTACCTAACTTTTTGTTACGGTTGGGGGCTGCATATCCTGTTCAGAATTAAGAAAATAACACCACAATGTATGCATTAAAATTGTGAAATTAGGCCCTTACAAACCAAATATGTTTCTTTTTTTCATGCGTTATGTGGATAAAGATTTCCAAAATTTTAAGACCTCTTCATGGATTAACATTTACCATTTGAAAAAAATGTAAGAGATCGTTCCAACCCTTAAAAATAAAAGGCGTAATGCGTACAAGTGCAGAAAAAATATGGCAAATTGAAAATTACCGAATCAAGAGGATTTTTTCTTTAAAACGATTCACAAATTGTTTCCTGAATAATTTTGTTCGTTATTGTCGTAACAAACGGTTCTGATTATTTTTATTATTAATTAGTCCCGAGAATCAAAAAAAGAAACAAACTAACATTCATCTAAATTCCAAAATTATTAATTTTGTTAAAGTAACCTAACGTTCTAATGGAAATTAAAATTCAAAATTAAAACTTTTAAAATTAATTTCAGTCTTTCGAAATAGTTTTTTTTTTGGGCAGTTTTTTTCGAATATAAACTTTTTTTAGGAACAGCAAAATCACTTTCTTCATAGCCTAAGTGTAGGCTAAGTTAACGCTTTATTTCCCGGGACTATTTTGCAAGTTTTTCGCATTTAGAATGGGATAAGAAGGAATACTTTTTTTTTTCTCTTATTATTTACAATAAGTAATTGATAAATTTGTAAATTGCGGCTTTGAACAGCGATTTTTTAAATGAATGATTCAATTTTTTTGCCGGAAATTTACCCCCCACTGTAAACTAGCACTGATTATAAAAAAAAAACAAAAACATAAAACCAAATAAAAATATATTTATTTATTTATTTAATAAAATAAATGACTAGTTGCTCACACGTGATTAAAATCAAAATAAGGAGATCGTGTTTAAAAAAAAACCTAACTACCCTAAATAAAAACTGTGCTAAATAGTGAAATAAATAATTATAAATAATAAGTATTAAGCAGACATGCAAAAAAATAAATAAATCATAATAGCAACTAGACATAAAAAAAAAATTATAAGAAAAATTGTGAAGAAACTTTAAGATAAAGAATTGCGTCCTTGGTCCAGCGGACGGTTGGACTAATTGCAAATAATAATTCATTTTAAAGTTTCTTCCATTATTTTTAGCAGAAAAATACAAAACTAAAATAAAAATCACTGGCATATCTACTTAATAATAAATCACATAAAATTTAATATACAGGGTGTCTCGAAAACAAATTAATATGCAAGCTTATACAAAAAACCTTTGCAATTTTCTGTTCCTCTCCGCAAGCTATTATTGGCAACATTTTCAAATTTCAATAATCTCACCTCTCAGAGGGTAACTTTTTGTAATTTTGTATATTAGTGGTTTTGGAGACTCCCTAAATAATTATTTAATGTGCAAATTATGTTTAACTAAATGTCATTGAACACATACAAAGAAAGAAATGAAATAATTTTGGAATGTTCTTGATTATCACCAAAGTACAATGACATTTTTTAATTAAAAACAAAAACTAAAGTTTAATTCAACGACTAGCAAAAAAATTACTTTAGGGCAAGTTTTTTTTTTATACGCATCTGCATATAAAAATCTCGCCCTTAATAATAACCTTTGGTTAAAAAACGTTATATACAGTATTATATACAGTTTTTATGGAAAATAAAACAAACCCAGTTGGCCAGTTTACAGTGGCCAATTAAAATTAATAAAAAAAGTTGGTGCAGATTTTGAACTTGCTTGGCTCGATTATTGTTATTTTCTTTATAATATACAAAAATCCGGATTTTATTTCAATTATTATTGATTTTTCACTGTTCGCCATTTAATATTATCTTGGGGCATCAATAATTGTCCCATCATTGTCCAACAACATTATTTTGACAGCCCTATAATATTTATCTATTTATAAATACGTCACCGATTCGCTGTTTTGTTTGTTTGTTTGTGTAAATTATTATTAGTTATTAATATTCATATTATAAACAGAGCAGTTTTTTTAGTACCATACGCTACCGATAGGTGGTTGTGGTTGAACTGTCTTTTGCCCTTCGTCACCTTCGGAAGGTCACTCGAGCTGCTCGAGGAAATTTGGCGATTTAAAGTATTCTGGAACGGGATCGTCCATTCTCGATATGATTTTGTAAATTGATTTTTTCCATGATTGTTCGGCGTCTCGGCCCTCTTGGATGGCTTTGAAAAATTCCCTGAGCGTTTGTTCCACTACAAAACGGAAATTTGAAGGAACCTGAAAATAATGAAATATTATAAGTTAGGTACGCTATTGCGTTTCAGTTCGAATATAAATGGAACTAAATGTGTATTGGATTAATTTTAGTATAATCAAATAAATTTCTTAAGATATCAACTTGCAATTAAATGGAGGGTGATTAGAAGAAGGTTTGAAGTAAATTATTCTTAAATTTCAAATCGATAGGTTCAAAATTTAATAAATGATCCGCTGGTTGAATTTGAGCATGGACAATTCTAATAGAATACGTTTTCCGATTCGTTTAATTTTTCATCTCAAAAATGATTGAATAAAATACGCTAATTTGCAACTCGGACGCTAGTAGAAACAAGGTCGAAAGCACATCATACTAAAATTTCAAATTGAATAATTGAGAATTAAAATATGCGCCAACGTGGTGAACGTGAATATGACAATGTTATTTATCGATTACAGGGTCCTGTAATATGCACTTTGCCTTCTATATTTTGTATGGCCTACTACTGTTGGTTAAAGCATTGTACAGTGCAGAAAACTAATTCATAATATATCGGATAGGTGGCGCCAGCCAATTGGCATAAAATAAACAGTATATTTAAATTGAAATGTCGGTTTAGTTTCAACCAATTATTCGTAACAGTAAGGATCACGAATTTCGATAATTGTGTTGCATATTACTATTCACTGACCATATAATAATTAGTGGTTCCCTTAAATTGGGGCTAATTAAGGAGTCATAACACTAACGGGCAGTAGGTTTTTTTTTATAAAACGATATGATTTTTTTTTGTTGCATTAGGTAATAGACAACTCTTCATTGAAACTTTAATAGAAATTAGGGTTTTTTATCGTCAATTGAAAATATATATGTAATATTATATAATATAATAAACTAATTTGATTAATTTATTCAGTCATTACCCCTATTGTATTAGATAAGAGAAATAAATCCATTTTCTGGAAGCAGTTTCTTCTAGAAAATAAAAATACAAATACAAAGCTTTATCATGATAATTATTGAATATTCTTTACAACAAAACATCAATAACATAATCTACAAAATGATAAAATTGTTGTAACGATTGCAACAGATGTCACTTCACCCTTCTTCTATACTGTCTAGGTAAAAAAAGCGTTCATATTGCACACCCTTATTTGATAAAAAAAAATATAATTAGGACAGGTGGGGTGTCTTCGTGCAAGATTAGTATCTAAGTTTATTTAGGGTGGGTGGCTATCAGGGGAATAATGGTAATTTTTACTATAGTTGCGCCATTACCTTGATGTGGTATGGGAATTGAATAAATAATTTTATTTATAAGAATGTGTATTTCCTCGGGATTAATGAAAATAGAAGGTTATGGTGATTAGTGGAAAATGCTAATTTTTACTTGTTGCTTGTAATATTGTTTTATAAATATAAATAATTACCTATCTAGGCGATTTATGAATCCTGAAGATTGATCAAAACATTTTAATAGAACGTTGAAATGAAGAAGCAAATTAAAAAAAAAAAAACATATGAACCAACATACTATGGAGTGAACGCATTCGATAATTTACCAGGAAAAACAAACTCGAAATGCAGTCTATCATAAACCAGCACCTTTTAGTTTCTGGGAGTACCATATTGCCCTATATACCCTTACCGCACTTGAGAGTAAATGCTTAGGTATTCAAATTCAAAGAAAAATAGGACAAGGGGAAACACTTCACAATAAAATATCGATAGTTAGCTATTATTATCTGCAAACATTGCAACATATGTTACTTCGTCCTATTCTCACTCTCTAAGTCTAAGTGTAAAAGAAGAAATATAACGTGTTCATATTATGTTGCACTTATTCCCAGTATAATTAGACCTACCAGGTGTGGTGTCTTCCATGCAGAATAAATTCCAAGTTTATTTAAGGGGGTGGCTATCGGGGGATTGATGGTTATTTTTACTAGTTGCGTTATTATCTGGATATGGCATGGGAAATGCACAGAATGTAATTAGGAGAAAGCTGAACTATTAAAAAATTTGAATGAAATGAATGCGCCAGTGATTGAATTTGAATATGGACAGTTTTAATGAAATAATGGATGCGTCATAAAAATTCAATCAATATTATTTAAACCTAACGTCCAACGAGTATTTCAATTCAACACGAGCCAAAGTCCAACTGATATACTGTCCGTATCTGTTCAACAAATCATTGGACCATATTTTTTTCAAGATGAAACTCTGTTAAAAAAAATCCACAATAAAGGCTCAACAGGGTTTCTATCAGTCAGCAGCTTTAACAAGAATTGACAAGCATGTGTTGAAAGAGAAGGTCATCGCTTTTTAAGTAGCTAGTTTTTAAATAAAGTATATTTTATTGTTTGAAAAACTTAATAAACTGGCCCGTATGAAACCTTGAAAAAGTCCTAATACTCCAATTTATGTTTTTTTTTCTCAAAAACGGTTTAAAATCTGAATTGGCAGTTTAAAGTTGGATAGTTAGGTTTGAAGTAAAATATTTAATAAAATGTCGAATAAAGCGCTGGGGTGATAGAATTTGATTATAAACCATAAACAAATTTAAATTTTTGTAAACACACTTCCTACATGCTCTAATTTATTTTGGAGCATGTCAGCTAAAATTTCAAGTCGATCGATTGAAAATATTAAAATCAAGAAAAAAATTGATATTTTCACTAGTTGCGCATTACCTTTATACTTATGTTTAATGGAAATTGCATGAATGGAATTATTTAGAAGATGTATATAGCCTCGGGATTAATTAAAATACATGAAAGAACATCGGAACGAAAAAATATATATATGTTCATATCATGAAGTCCAGGTACAAAGGGCTCGATAAATTACCAGGGTTTTTTTTTTGTTGCATATAATGGAAAAGGCCGCTAAAACTTGTACTTTTAGCAGAAATTAAAGTTCATGTTTTTTCAACATCAAATGTAAATAGATATAATACATAATATGAAGACTTTGAGGGGTATACATTCGAAGAAATTAAATAAAAAAAACAGCAATATTATTATCTGCAAAATGGTAATAATGTGGTAGAGCAGTCAACGGTGCCCGGTGGCAGTCACAATTGCAACAGATGGCCCTTCACCCTATTTCTAGGGCCTAGGTGAAGAAGAAGAAACAAGGTGTTCATATTGCACACCCTTATTCGATAAAAACAAATAATATGAGACCAGGTGGGGTGTCTTCCCAGATTAGAATCCAAGTTTATTTAGGGTGGCTATCAGGGGGAAAATGCTAATTTTTGTAGTTGCACATTGCACATTGCCTCGACGGTAATTATTGCATAAATAGAATCATTTAGATGTTATATCCTCAGGATTGATTAGAATATAAATTTTTATAGGCTGATCAGTGCATAAATGTTTATTATTGCGAAAAAAAAACCCATGCATAAAAATCTTTTCAGTCCTAGTTACCTATATGATGTATCACTTTTGTGTCAAGTGTTGACCACAATAAAGTTCATATCATTCTCAAAAAGATGAAAATATTTTAAAACCATTTGTAAAATATTTTGTTAAGTTCAACCTCTTTTAAACTCAAGGTACGAATTAAAATGTTTAATAACAATAAACAAGAAATTGCTTGTGGAAGAGAATTTTTAGGGTCATGCAATATGCATAATAAGAGTAGAATAAAAAAAACATCTGGAATATGAATTTCAAGATACATGGTCGATAAATTACCAGGAGAAGAAAACTTGATGTGTAGTCTACAAGAAGCCAGTACCTAGTTTCTAGAAGAAGATACGTGCCTACCATATTCCACTGCTACCTCTGTAACAGGTACCACATACGAATTAGAGAATAAATACGTTTGTGTTCAGACAAAATGTTTGATTTTGAAATGTTACCTCAAAGCTGGGTTTGTTTAGGTAGGTCACAGACACTGAGCTGATAGGATTGGTTCAGACATTTTTTCTCCGTGGATTTAATTCATAACGCTGCTGAGACTTTGGCCAAAATTAAAGTTAATTTTCTCCCCCGCCAAATGCAAATGAATATGATCCAGACGAAGACTTTGTAGGGCGCATTTAAATATACTTTACAACAAGGAAACATCAATATTTTAATCCGGCGCCCGATGATAATAATGTGGTTACGATTGCGAATTGCAACAGAGATATTACTACGCCCGTTTTCCACTATCTAGGTAAAAACGAAGAAATAACGTGTTCATATTGCGCATTTTAGAAAAATATAATTATTAGACCAGGTGTGGTGTCTTCCGTGCAGATTAAATTCTAAGTTAATTTAGGGTAGGTATAGGTGGCTGTCAGGGAAACAATGGTAATTTTTACTAGTTGCATGATACTTTGATTTGGTATAGAAATGGAACAGGTAAATAGTTTTGGTGAGAAAATATTTATGTTTTTTTTTTCTACGAGACCAGAAGATGTTAAGAATTTGCAATTTCAAGGATTGTCAAAAAGCTTTCATCCGGTACTCGTGCTCATTGTCATATTAATTTTAGAGGTGGTTAAATCAATTTGCTTTGTGGTTAGGTACGCCTAACCAGAGATTTTTCAGTAGGTAGGTACCTATCTACTTATTAGTACTTATGGTGCCGGTGAAAAGTTAATTGCGGTTGACTCAAGCATCGGTTATTCGTAATAATATTGATATTAAATGTTCATGCCCATTTATCTATTTTTGTTGCTTCCTATTTTTTCTTCAGTTGTAACACTATCCGTTGTTTTCAACAATTTCGATGTATAGAGGTACCTACCTAGTAAGATAAATTTCGGACTGATTGACACCAAATTTGCTTCCAAAAACTCAAAATATACATCAATTTTTTTTTAATCAACATTTAAAACCAAAGATTTGCTTGATCATTTTAAAAATGAAAGGATAATTTCAAAATTTCAAAAATTTTCTATGCATAAAAAAATAGATGTTGCATGGCACTATATGTTTGAATAAACATATAAAAAAAGAGAGAGACAAGAAAATAATGGACAGTTATGGCCATTTAATTTCGCATAACTTGGCAG